TAAGGCTTGCAACCCAAGAGATTTCCTATTTAATTAAGTTCTAAAATCACATACTTCATGGAGTAAACGAAATATCAGAAATTTTCATTGCAGGGGCTTCTGCTTCCCTTGCCAAAATCTAAAAGTTTAATGTTGACTTATAGAAAACATAAGCTTTGAGGCTGTATTTGCATTGTTTCAGAGTAAATACAGCACTATAATGTAACTGTTAATTTCACAGAACCCCAATTCTTTCAGGAGCACAAGAAAACCCTAAATCACAGATGATAAGTGCTTTCTAATTTTGGAATCCTGATGCTTTCATTAACAACTTCATTGTAGAAATGATAACTTTTCTAGATTTGGAAATTATACCTTTTTCACAATTATGATGCTGAAGACGACTAAAATTCTGGATAAAGTGCCATGAAACAAAAGCCTCATACAATGCTTTTATTCTGCCTGGTTTACTAGGCTCTCATCCCATCAGAGCACCTCACCTCCTAATCCTACAATCAGCTTTTCATTTCATACAAATCCACATATCTTTTCACTGACATTCTTGTCAAACTATGTAGGAAAAACAAGTTCTAGACCTGAAATTCAAAATCAAATAACCTCACAGCGATCCCAGAAAATAACAGTCTTTAAAATGTATGCATGTTCACCTAAGACACAAAACTTTAAAGTTTAGAGGACTTTTGAGCAAATGTTCTCTTGTTTTTTGGTATCTTTCCATTCATGAAATATCCTTAACCTTCTCCCACAAATATACAGATTTATTTGTAAGGAATCATCTGACAATATGCATGGCAGGATTGAATTACTCATATTTTATGGACAAAATTAAATCAAAAGATACGTTATAGAATTTAAGAGTTTGGAGACTTAGCAGCAATTGCTATCATTTATTCAACACCTGCTATTTCTAAGTACCTTACACATGCTATCTCTAATTCCTTCCCAAACAGGAATTATAAGTTTTTCAGTTGAAGAAAGTTCACTAAATTTCCTGAACTGTGAAATGAGAGTAATATTACCTCTTAGTTGGCAGCATTCAATAGAATCATGTAACCTGTCAAAGACACTCAGCTACTAAGTGGTAGAGATTTAAAGGCAGGTCTCCCCAGACCCTGTGCACAAGCCCCTTCCGATGCCAAGATGCCTTTCATTAACTGACAGCTAAA